TCCTTGCTACTCGTGGGAACACACATGAATGAAACCAACACAAAAACAGAAACAATAAAAACCAATCCCGAGGCTGGACAGAAGTGCTCACCTCAATCTAAGGCGGTGGCTGTGGATGAACAGAAATGTCCACCCCAATCTACCGCTTGAAATGAGGCTGAACGTAGCAGATCACCTTGTGATGTAATACAAAGGCCAAGGTGTAATCGCATTTGCTGAGCCGTGGCCAAAAAGAGAAAGAGAGTGAAAGAAGCAGGAGTGGCAGCAACTATAAGTGCAACATCCTTCTCCCCTACTCCACCTCCAACAGCAAGGGCAATTTCTGCAGCAGGCGCCAAGAGCTCCACCTTGAATCGAGGCAAGGAACCGGTTGCCCCTGCAGGAAAGCTCCCTCACTTATGCACCTCCACGGAGGGAACCCCGAGAAGGTTGAAGAAGTCGCGCAACGACAGTAATGTCGCTGTACCTTCCAAAACCTTCGCAGAAGCCACCGTGAGACACCTCAAGGTTGCCAAAGAGAGTGTGTGTTCGGCGAGTCTTGGTCTATTAGGAGATATTTCCTAGTAACCTGTTCACCTTCCTGGAAAGGACAGGATGGACGATGACCTAGGAGGACAACTTTTCAGGAGGATGTACAATGGGTCACATGTGACCTAAGTGCTGTGAGTCTACACTTACTTTCCATACTCTACAGATACAGAACTCACAACTCTCAGAGATGCCGCTTTCTTATCAAACCTGGGATGTGATGAAAATTTCAAATTGAAAACCTCAAAGGATATGCACTATCGCTTCTATTTTTCCCGTACCTATATTCAATGCCAACAAATGAGAAGACTTCTGAAATTTTTCTCACATATTATTTGCCGAAATAAAAATAAGACTGTTATACATTCACAGTACTAATTGAAATTTTGCTACATAATAGTTATCTTAGCTGATGTTATACTGGTAATATTGGAAAATTTGTACTCACTTTGGGATTCACTTCAGAAATTCCAATACAAAACTCTTCATAAAATACCTACTCATTTGAATTCACTTCGTTCGCTAACCCCACAAATAATTTCTGACTTATGATGACAGAAGTCATAATATTGATTTGCTGATTAGCTTTCTGGAAACATTCACGAAATGCTTCTTATTTCAAGGCACGTCTTCTTGATTTCAAACACGTTGGAGCCTGGCTCTCTTACCCTTTGGACTGATTTTTGACAAAAGGACAAACGGGTCATAACTGATGGTTCTTATTTCGAAGGAAGATATACGAGTGAGTTGAGAAAATCAGTTCTTACTATTCTATAGTTAAACTGTTTTGGCAGTTCATAAAAGATTTTATCAAACATAATATGTTCACTAGAGCATTATATTTTGGTCAAAACGTTTTGATGATATTGGAATTATCATTGACTATGTATATCGCAATTTAAATAATGATAAAATCCAGTGTTCGGTAGATTCACCTGGTTTCTCCGACCACGAGGCGATTCATGTCACAATATTGATTGATTGACTCAGTTATGAAAACTAGGAAATTCAAGTATGGACGACTCTTCAACTCTCGGAATTATGATAGATTCTACCACGGATGTCTTCATGCTGATTAGAATTTTATATTAGAAGTGCAAAATCAACCCCTTTCTGTTTTATGTTCCCAAATAAAAAACAAGAATTAACGAGGTCTTACCTTTTAACGTGTGATTCCCAACACGTGTACCATTTACATTTTGATAGTTACGCGTCGCACCGTAAATATAAATAAATAAATATACAAACAAACAAAGCAAGCTTAATGAAACCGTTTGAAAAACACTTTGAAAGAGTACATCTGTCTCAAACTCCATGTCACTTTTAGACTAATTAGATGTAAGATATTAGATGTGAAAGCTCTTTTTGAATAAATGCAAACGTTAAATTGTTTTATCTTACTTTTTTACAAGTAGGAGAAGAGAATGCTACATACAAAAATATTTTGTTGATGGCACACGTACATTTTCAATCGTCTGTAATGATTGTTGCGAAGAGTTTTTTTGTTCGATCTGTCGATTTATGGGACAGAGAAGATTCTATTAGAACGAACTGAGCTAAATGTATTCGAGCTCGAACCTGAGTAGGAGTATAGAGCCGAGCCGAGCCGAGCCGAGCCGAGTTTAGAACTTTTCCAAACCATGAAAGGGTCTTAAACCCCTTTCACCTCTTAGAGAAAGGTTTTAAAAAGCCCTGGCATATGCGTCAAGTATCTAACTTAGTACAGTCAAAAAATCTTGCTCCATTTTCAACCCCATTAGGGTTGTTTTTCGCCAAACCCTGACTTTCCTTCAAAAACTGGTTTTCTACATTACAAAGCAATATTATCGAACTGAAATGATCAATAATACCTACATAAATATTAATACTGCATATTCAGATTGAAACACTCAGATTTGATGTAATAATTTATAAAAATAGTAAAAATATTAACAAAATTAACTAAGGAAATCTGTGTTAATTTAATGTTTATCAAAGTTCTTCACAAAGACTCACAAAGATCCTACTTTTAAAAAACATAAAGAAATAATTCACCAATATGCAAGGATGGCAATGTTAAAATTTGATATAAATCGAAAAAACTTTTACAACCTTTAGTAAAGGACACATGCAATACATCTAATAATTCCCATGTGATGGCACCTATCCGCTACCTATCGGACGCGTCCCCAGGTGACCGATAGGGGAAAGGCCAGGGGACTGAAGGCCCTGTCCGGAAAGCCTGTGTGGCCTTACGGACGGGGTCGCCGGACTCCTGGTCAGTGGCAGAAATAAGTAGGGTGAGGGGAACCAAAACTCCCCAAAGGCCTTTGCGAAACATGCCACCATGGACCAGCCTACCCAAACTGAGGTGTAAGGAATCGTGCCGATATCTGAATGGCCGCAGGGTGGTATGCAGTTACGAACGATCCCCTTGGGGAAACGAGCGAAACCTCATTGGAATCAGCCTTGCTCTGGTAATGCGGGGCTCTGCCAGAGTGACCAACTCTTCCCCTGCTACTCGTGAAAACACACATGAATGAAACAAACACAAAAACATACACTGAAAAAACAAAAACCAATCCCGAGGCTGGAAAGAAATGCTTACCTCAATCTATGGCGGTGGCTGGAGATGAACAGAAATGTTCACCCCAATCTACTACTTGGAATGAGGCTGGACATGACAGATCACCTTGAGATATAATACAAAGGCCAAGGCGTAAAAGCATTTGTGGCGCCGAGGCCAAAAGGAGAAAAAGAGCGATAGAGGCAGGAGTGGCAGCAATTATAAGTGCACTCTCCTCCTCCCCCACTCTACCTCCAACAGCAAGGGCACTTCCTGCGGTGTGCGCCAAGAGCTCTGCCTTGAATAAAGGCAAGGAACCGGCTGCCCTTGCAGGAAAGCTCCCTCACTTGGGCATCTCCACGGAGGGAATCCCAAGAAGGCTGAAGAAACCGCGCAACGACAGTAATGTCGCTGCACCTTCCACAAAGGCCGCCGTGAGACACCTCAAGGTTGCCAAAGGGAATATGAGTTCTGCGAGTCTTTGCTTTCACCTGCCAATATAAAGGAGCTGTCTCCTAGTGACCTGTTCACCTTCCTGGAAAGGACAGGATAGACGATGACCTAGGAGGACAACTCCTTGGGAGGATGTACAATGGGTCACATGAGGCCTAAGTGCTGTAGGTTTACACTCATCCTCCCTTCTCTACAGATACAGATACATCTAATAATTTTGTCTGAGCAAACTGCTACGACACTTTCAGCGTACCCTGTATATTTATTGTCTAAGTTCTCGCCGTAAACATTGTTGAAATAGTATTTCATTGACGAATTTATTCTATACAGAGTGAATATTTACTACGTTGTATTCACATCCGAACGTTGAATTGAAACTTGTACGTACACCTGACACCTACTTTGCTTATCACTATGTTCAATAAACACTAGGCCATGACCTCTTATGGAAATGAAGCATTAAAAAAGAACTAATCATTTTTGTAGTTACTATCCATATCTTTTAATTATTTGAATAGTACAAATTGCGTACAATTCCATTCTCTACGTTCAACGGACAAAAAAATACTAATTAATCAATTCACCTGGTATAAACAACAACATTATCAAATCACATTACAGTTCTGATAGGCACGAACTAACAGAAAAATATTGGTTACGCATAATTCGGCCAAACCCCATATAAAAACTCAGTTGTCACTTCTAAATCAAAACAGGATACACCAAAAGTTATGTACAGGTTACAGGAAGCGTTCAGTAAAAACGAAAAACCCCTATAACCTGAACAAAAGCACTTCAGTATACACCGCACAGTAAACGAAGTTATACGGAAAAAAATGTCATGGGCGTTTAGAATTTGTTTTTCGACAGGGATAGGGGATTGATGTCCTATTATTTCCCAAAATACGGCTAACTGACGATCATCGCGCTGTACCTATATGATACGGTATTATCTTGTCCCAATTTGTTCTGTTATTCACCGCTAAGAAAAGGGAAAAAAGAGAAAAAGAATTTTCTAACATTTCATTTTAATTTGATGATTTGTGTTATCTGTTTTCTCTTGGTGCAAATAACACCTCAAGTTTTATGTGAATGAATTGGTTTTGGTGAATTATCATCGTTTACTCTTGTTTTTCGTTTAAAATAATTTAAATTTCAATTTAAAATGTCCAAAAAAATTACTGGGTCTGAAATGTCACATATATCACTCAAAATTTTCAATTTTCTACCAGAGATGTACATAATATACATTCACTCCATAAATTCTTGCCTTCTCCTCAAAAAACGTTTCAAAACNAGGTGATTGTACATACCTTAACACCACCGCTGATAAAATCAACAAAAATGAAACCTACAAATGTAGGCGTCCTTTTCCCCCTCATCACACCCGCCCATGAACACTCCCGGTAGTGTCTTGACTTATTTTAAGCCTTCGAAGCTGAGCTAGATCCCCACCTACGTGACGTAGCGCAGTGTGATCCAGAGATCCAGAGACAACCGGGCAGAAAATAATTAACAATTTCATAGTACTGGCACCCTTGATTAACGCCGCATATGTTCCACTTTCGACGAACGAGATGTGAATCGTAATTGTTTTGTTGTAAACATTCGACAGTGTCCGATTTGGTCGATGTTCTTTTACTCTATGAATGGAAAGTCGGGATTTCTGGCGCACACCACGGTTCGTTTGTTTTGTGCGATCTGGAATTCTTCGAAATAACCGAGATTTTGTGATAGTTTTCAGAACTGCAGGCTAAGGTTAGTGTTTATAGACTTTTCATTTTGAATCTTCAAACGACCCAACAGAAATAATCCAGTTCCGCAAAACGACACGTGCAATAAGAATCCAGTATGAAAATAAAATCTTCCAATTGGGAAAGATACAATTATCAGTTTCAACTTTTTGAATTTTTCAGTGGTAATAATTTATTGTTGTATTTTTATTGTTTATTAGTTCGTTTTATGATACTAAATTAACATCGAAGTATTTTAATTACAATTAAAAGTTTTGGAATAGTTTGGAACAGTTGAATAGTTTCACGTGAAATTTGACTTATTTGTCTATCAGAAACCTTTATGCACGGTGAACTGAAGTATAATGCCACAAAAACAATTAGAAATACGCGATACAGGTATACGTGGGCTGTTCAAAAAATAAGGCAAATGTTCAAATTTTGCGGACTACATACATTCGATTAGCAATTTTGGTAAATATTCGTTTTGAGGGCACCCGGCGATTTTGAAAAATTGTTTAAGTGTACTTACGTATTTTGATTATGAATCCGAAAGAAAAAAGCGGCGCTCTCCCTTTTTAAAAAGTTGCGGCCCTTCAAAGTTCAGAAAAGGGCAACTTTTCAACCTTCTTTTTCACAAGATAAACTATTTAAAAACACAAACATTTATTCACTAGGTCACCTTTACACCTTATTCCTCCTTCCTTGGCACTTTTCACTTCAACAATCAACATTTTTCCAATAAAAATGTTTAAAAATGTACGGAGCTGCTTTTTGGTAATATATCTCTGTATTTTACGTTTTTGAGGTTAATGGCTTAGTTGGTACGACTGATGCTTACATGCTCCCATTCTAGCACTTGTTTTAAGTTTCAACAAATGTACTGAACTTTTTCTTTTTCCTTCGGTATTTTGATTTTCTGTTACACTCACACTCGCACTCTTCATTGCAATTGATACAACGTGTTGTTGCTGCCAACACTCCTACTTGAACTGGGAAAATTTTACTTTAAGGGATACTCACGGATATTCGCGATTTTTTCTGGGAACACTTTTTATTTTTAGTCGGACTCGATTAGTTTTCCAGATATAGCCTGTCAAAGTTTGTATGATGTCATAACCTAACTCAATCTAACCTGTCCCTACCTGTCCTAACCTAACCTTAGTATATAATTTTTAAAAAACTATCTATCCTCAACATTTAACCTCCAAATTCTAAAAGGAACGTATTTTCGAATATTTAATTTTGTAATAACTATCTTTACTCAACATCTAACCTTACTTCCGAATTCTAAAAGGAACGTATTTTCGAAAATTCAATTAAAAAAAATCTTCCCTCAACATCTAACCTGACCTCCGAATATGAAAACGAATGTATTTTCGAATATTTAACTTTGAAAAAACTATCTTCTCTAAACATTCCACCTGAATGGAATGATATGGATATGATATGATATGGAAAACAGCTAACCAAAAAAAGACAACCGTGCTTGACAGATAAACGTGCGCCACCAGACACCAACAGTTGAACAAATGCGCACATCAATATTTATCAATATTCTATTAATCCATGTCATTTGTTATTCTCATTTTAGGTATAAATGTAATATCAAGTGAAAGTTAAAAAAATCAAAAACGTTATAATTTTTCAAGTGATTATTGAAAAACATAATTTTTGGTACAAACTTTGACAGGCTCATCTCGAAAACTAATTGAGTCCAACTAAAAATAAAAAGCCTATCATCATGTTGGATCATCCCAAAAAAAATCGCGAAAATCCGTGAGTATCTCATAAAGTATAATTTAGCCCTTGAACTAAATAAAGAAATAAAGTTCATCTTACTTTCACTAAATTATTAATTTAGTTCAAATTCATTTGTGTTTTTCTAATCACTCACGTCAAACTAAAAATCCTAATCTACGAATTTGAAATAGTAGTCGGCGGCAAATACCAACCGATTTTTTCTGAAATGTCACTAGTAACTAACCTAGAAATTGAAGAATGTCACCAGAAGAAGCATTCGTTTTTAAATTAGTTTTTTTATAAGAAAAATGTTGAGTGTTGTATTGAAAAGTGTCACTTAAGGAGAAATAAGGTGTAAAGGTGATCTAGTGAATAAATACTTGTGTTTTTAAATAGTTTATCTTGTGAAAAAGAAGGCTGAAAAGTTGCCCTTTTCTGAACTTTGAAGGACCGAAACTTTTTAAATAAGGGAGAGCGCCGCTTTTTTCTTTCAGACTCGTAATCTACCTACGCATCAAAATGCGTGAGTACACTCAAAAATTTTTTCAAAATCGGCGGGTGCCCTCAAAACGAATATTTACCGCCATTTTTTATATTGGTACACTTGTAAAAGTTAGAATTCTTTTGCGTGTTTGGCAATAGAAAAAACTGGATCAAAGAATTTGCATAAAATTTTGTGTGAAAAATGGAACTAAGTGCTCAAAAACACTTCAAATGTTAACAGTGGCAGACGATGGTTGTACACTGTGTCAGAAAAATGTTTATAAGTGGTACAAACTTTCCACAGAAGGTGAAGATGATCACTTGATGATCGAAACACGTGTCAAGGTGTTGAAAATAACGGTTTGGTGTTGGGATGTTTTTATTCGTCAGAAAATTTTTACTTCACTAGAAGTGTCATTCTTTGAATGATAAATTAAAACGAGAGAAATATAAAATGTTGAATGATTCGAAAGAATGACAGGAAACACATAATGAAATGAAATTATGAAGTTGTGGTGTAACAAACAAATGTCGCGTTACTAACAGTACATCAGTATTTATATACAGGTTATTAAAACAGTGCTGATGGAAATGGGAGGGTTCTTTTAATGATTCAGTGTAAATAATTACCTGCCAAATAGCTATAGGGCGAGTTTTTCAATTGAAAATGGTCAATGGTCTGGGAAATGATTCTGAAAAATTCACACAATGGGCCGTTGGTTTCCAGAGCATCTTGAATTGGTGGAAAATGTTCAAGAACAACAGAACTCCTTTTATAAAATATGAGAGGAAACAAATAGGGATATGTTAACACTTTGCAATGTCGAAATGCCTATTTTTATCGGAAGATTTATCGTTCTGATTGTCTCCTTTATTTTTATGTTGATTCTCAGGAGGTGTAATACTCTTTTGAGCTCCAGAAAATGGTGATAACGTGAATCGTAGTAAATTGAAAAGCATTTCTGTACATGAGAACCTTTCAAAATTATCAGCTGTGTGTGTTTCTTGTCCTCGGTAATGCGAACTTTCAATAGCCTCCTAGTTTCATCGATGTATGATTCTCCGCACTCGCAGGGTATCCGGTAAATGCAATTCTTGGAATCGCAGTCCACCCTTGGTGGCCTAGTTTTCGTGAGACTGCTACGGATAGTGTTCGCAGAACTGAAGCAGGTTCTGATGTTATACTTGGACCCAATCCTTCTTATGCTTTCCGACAATCCTCTGATGTAGGGATGTCGACATTGCAAAGTGTTAACATATCCCTATTTGTTTCCTCATATTTTATAAAAAGAGTTCTGTTGTTCTTGAACATTTTCTGGTTGTGGTGGCTTCTCTTCCTTGTAGAGCTCTTAATGTCTTCTAGCTAAAGCCAGTTCCACCATCACGTTGGAGTAACCATTCCGTTGAAGGTCATTTTTGTTGATGTCCAGTTCCTTTTCGAGACCTTCCTTTGTATTACAGAGCCGGAACGCACGGTCTGGTAGAGTCTTGATGATTCCTCTCTTAGTCGATTGATGGTGGTTGGATTACTGGTTCAGATACTGTTCCGTGTGAGTGGGTTTTCGATATGCAGATGTTTCCCATTTAGTGTCGGTCCTCTTCACCAATGTGTCCAAGAAGTGATGGAAGGACTTACGTTGCTTATGTGCTTCAGGAAAGTGTCTAATTATGCATTCCCATGATTCCATATTATGAAGGTGTCGTTCACGTATCTCAACCAGACTCGGGGCCTCTTGTGAGCTTCTTCAATGGCCAGAATTCCAAACCACTCCATATATATATATTGGCTATAACCGGTGAAAGTGGCGATCCCATTGGCAGTCCCTCATCTTGCGTAAAGAATTCGTCCTTCAGTTGGAAGTAGCAGTTTCGTACACAGCATCCTAGTAATTCCATGATTACTTGTATCGGTAAGTTTGTTCTATCTTTCAGGTCCCCATCTTCGGATAGCTTTTTCTGTATGCTTTGAAGTGCTTCTTCGACAGGAATGTTGGTGTAGAGGCTTTCCACGTCGAAAGAAGCGGTGTGAATTTAAAACACGACATTGTTTTTGAGTCATTGTTTTAAAAATAACAAAATTGGTGTCATTCTCATCACAAAACTTATCAGTGGAATATCATGAAATTTCAACAGCGCCATCTATGTGTTAAGCCCGAGAATTCTCAGTTCATGTAGTAATTAATAACAAGTGTTCAAAATAAGTTGGGTCCACATTTGTTCATTAAAGGATTAAAAAGCGAAACAAAAATCAAAATACATGTGAAAAATGCACAGGAAGAATGTGTTTATTATCAGATTGAGTTATTTTTGGCTCTGGGTAAAGGAAACATCGATACCGGAAGCAATAGGTACTCAGTCAAATATCTGGATCAGTTCAAACAACGTATTTATTCTTTTCTTTTTCGTGATCAGACAATCATCAGCAGCAGCATGTCACCGACGGCAACTTTAATTTCACCTTCAAGCAGCTTCTCTTCCCCCCTCACGTCCAGTAGAGGTCGACTTCAGGATTTTAGCAATACCGGCTCTGCTAGTTCCATCCTTACCAGTTTTCCTGCAACCAACTGGTACCAGTACCAAAACACTGACAATTATCGAGTAAGTATAGTCAAGTTATGTTGCGTCAGTCTGAGTAGAACAAATAAACTATTTCAGATTAGTGAAAGACGTATTGGCTAATCTTAATGATAATAATAATAAGTGCCTAACAATATTTCTAGACCTGGCCAAGGCGTTGGTCACCGTAGATCACAAAATTTTATTGCATAGATTGGACAGAACGGGGATAAGAGACACAGTTCTTAATTTATTTCAACTCCGAGAGTAAAAATGAAAAACTGTTTTAGTAACCCCCTTCCTATCACCATAGGCGTACCGCAAGGAACAGTGATGGGTCCCATACTCTTCCTAATTTATATAAACAATATTGGAGTACTGAGAAACACCAAAAGCTCAGTAATCTCATATGGTGATGACACAGCGATAAATAATGTTTTCTGGAGATTCCTGGACAAAACGGTACCAACAAGCCGAACGAGAGTTAAATATATATTTTGATTACATTGATGGTAGCTTTTTAAGCTTGAATATTGATAAGACAAAATTCATCACTTTCAGTGCTGATATTAAAAATCAACCAGAGTTTGATAAAATAACAATAAAAAAAGGAACCTGTGACCAGGTAGCCGGTTAGTTCGACGTGGGTGCTTTGTTTACTCACTAAAGTCGACCGCCGTGTTGGTCGCTGGTTCAAGCCCCAGGCTGAACGATCGATTTTCAACTTGCTATCGTCCAACCCGTGTTAGGAATCACACGTTAAAAGGTAAGACCTCGTTAGTCCTTAGCTCGCACAAGTTTTGATTTTTGAGAGTTGTCGTTTGTAGGGGTGCGACAGCTGGTTAACGGAAAAACAGATTTTAAACATACAGACAGATATACCTTGTAAATAATAATAATGATAATAATATTTTTATTATGCATAAAAAATACATTTATACATAAAAGGAAAAGGGTTAGCCAAAGGCTATCTTCCACCCCTCCTAAAAATTATACAGTGAGTGTAAGAAAATAATTATAA